GTTGCTTTCTTACTCAGCTCATATCTGATGAGCTGGCTTCGCTGGATGAGCTGGACCATCTCATTGGTTGCATGGCATGCAAACAGGAGCTAGTTTCGAGGCTGAACCTTTTAGGCAAATTTCATGAACATTGGAGAGTAACAGCAGAGAGCAAATGCCGTCTGGCCACTGATGGTCTCCAGAGACTTCTTCATGTCAGAAGTCCTTGCTGTGGACATAGCCACCTTCCACACCAGCATGCCTGCCATGGCCATGCCAGTCCTGCAGCTACTTGGAGTCCAAAGGCAAGCAGGTATTACCTCTCCTCACTTTCAGCAATCAAGGGTGTATCATCTGCATAATCCAGCTTATTAATACTTCTTCTTCCAATCTTGATGCCACAAATTCTTCTTCATAGAAGAAGCTTCTCAAATGACTTGCTTAATATGTTGTTAACATGTCCAAAGTATATTAGACGAATCTTCAGAATCCTTACCTCCAAGGAGCAGCCTGATTTCAGCCTCTCTAGGATGAACTTGTGTGTTCTCCTAGCAGTCCGTTTAGTATTCTTTTCCAGCACCACAGCTCAAAGGCATCAATTTTCCTGTTATCCCTAGTCATTGTCCAGCTTTCTGATGCACAGCAAGTAATTGCAAAGAAAGTATTATAATGAAATGTGTAAAGAGCTGGAGTCAGAAAATCAAAGGGGCCGAACTCACTCAGCATTTCTTAAGCTCAAGAAACTGAAGAACAAATTTAAGCCTTGAGTTGCAATACCTAAGGATGAATGTTGTTGTCGTTGTTGTTATGTGCCGTCACATCGTTTGTGACTCATAGCAACCCTATGTACAACAGCCCTAAACCCTGCTCTATCCTGTGCCAATCACACTGCCTCTGACACACCCATCCTGATTACCCCAGTCACTGAATCAATCCATCTCATAGAGAGTCTTCCCCTCTTGCGCCGTCCCTCCACCCTCCCAAGCTTGATGTCCCTCTCCAAGGACCTGTCCCTCCTTGCAACATGCCCAAAGTGTGTGAGACGAAGCCCCAGAATCCTTGCCTACAAGGAGTTGCTTGGTTTAACCCTCTCCAGGATAAATCTGTTTGTTTTCCTAGCAGTCCATGGTATGTACCCTCAATACTCTTCTCCAGCACCACAGCTCAAAGGCATCAATTCTCCTTCTGTCCTCCTTAGTCATTGTCCAACTCTCTGATGCATAACAAGCGATTGCAAAGACCATGGCCTGTATCAGGCGCACCTTAGTCTCCAGAGAGACCCTGTTGCTCTTGAGTACTTTAGAGAGGTCTCTAACAGCAGACTTTGCCATCGCAATACGTTTTTTTTTATTTCCTGGCTGCTGGTGCCAAGAGTGTTGACCGTGGAGCCTAATAAGATGGAAAGAGTATACAGAGTCATTGTACCAAAAGGAATTGGCGGACACAGAAGAATTTCATGAAACAATGCATAAGCAAGAGCCTGTGGTGATGAAAGAGGAGTTCAAGCTGCTCTAAAAGAATTAGTAAAAAACAAGGCCCCAGGAATTGACGGTATACCATTTGATATATTTCAACAAACAGATGCTGCCCTAGATGTGCTCAGCAAGTTGTGCCAAGAAATCTGGAGGACAACCACCTGGCCAACTGACAATAAGAGATCTATATTTGTTCCCATCCCAAAGACAGGCGATCTGACAGAGTGTGAAAATTATGCAACAAATATCATTATTATCACATGTAAGCAAGATTCTGCTGAAGATTATAAAAAAAAAAACAAAACAACAAACCAACAAACTGGAACAGCACATCAACAGAGAACTGTCAGAAGTGCAGGCTGGTATGGAAGGGGTTGTGATATTAGGGATGTTGTAGCTAATGTTAGATGGATCTTGGCTGAAAACAGGGAGTACCAGAAGAATGTCTATTTGTGTTTCACTGACTATGCAAAGGCATTTGACACTGTGGAACACAACAAACTGTGGCTAATTCTGAGAGGAATGGAAATCCCAGAACACTTATGTACTTATGTGAAACTATGCTTGGACCAGGAGGCAATCATCAGAACAGAGCAAGGAAACCCTGCATGGTTCAAAATTGGGAAGAGTGTACATCAAGGATGTATCCTATCTCCATACCTTTTCAATCTATATGCAGAACATATAAAGGAAATTTATTTTCCATTAGCTTACTCATACAGATTTTTTTTTCTTCTCTCACCCTCTTCAATCTATAATGCATGTACTGTTTTGGATTGCTAATGCCATTGTCCATTCATTTCAGACTGACTTTTGTTTCACCCTTTTCAATCTATTCATTCTGTTCCTGCTCTTACAGTATAATTTTAGTTGCTCTCATGGTTGCTAGTGTACCCATTGCTACACCTTGTTACATAATGCATTCAGAAAATTCAGCTCATTGCCATCAAGTTGGATCTGACTCTCCAGTGGTTTTTTTTAGAAGCTGTCTGTCATACAGGAGGATATGGCCCATCTTTCTCCTAAGTAGTAGTGTTGGGTTCATAGCAAAATTCCTTAACCTAGTAGGTCACCAGGATACCCTAATGTGTTAATAAAGAAGTATGTTACTGTACCACAAAGTTTCTTTTAAAACACCGATGCCACACACTTTTGAGACACCTCTTAGAAACACTTTTTTTTTGCAGTCATTTGCAGCAATGTGTTAATAGGGGGGAATGATTTGTTTTATATATATAATGAACATTTACAGAGATTTTAGATTTCCATTCATTGCTGCATTTTTCTCCCTGCCTACCCCTCCGCCCCAGTTCACTCCTCTCTCTGAAAAGTAAAAGAAAAATTCCTTCATTGGTATACAATCCTCCTGCCCCAAGTACACTCCACTATGCAACCTTCATTCTGGACTCTTGTCATAACCATAATCCCAATCATATATCACTTTTAAACTGTTCTCTCCCTCATCTGTTTCAATGCAGTATACACAATTTATCCAGTTTTTCTCAGTCTTACCCCACCCCTGATGTCAGTTCCGTTCTACAACAGTGGCACCATGCAGTATTTGTCTTTTTGTGACTGAGATATTTCACTCAGCATAATGTCCTCCAGGGGTCACCCGTTTTGAATAATATTGCATGAGTTCCTTGTTTTTCAATGCAGCGTAGTATTCCATGTGTGAATATACCACAGTTTCTCTACTATTCATTTGTTGATGGGCACTTAGGTTGTTTCCAGTTCCTTGCTATTGTGAACAAAGCCACAATAAACATGGGTGTGCATATATCTGCTTGGATGGCAGTTATGGTCTCTGGGGTATATTCTCAGTAGTGGAATTGCTGGCTCAAATGGTATTTCTGTTTGCAACTTTTTGAGAAAGCACCACACTGCCTTCCACGTGGTTGCACCATACATTGTTCTTATGTGCCGTTAAGTCGGCTGTGACTCATAGAGACCCTATGCATAGTAGCTCTGAATTCTAACCTATCGGGAGCCAGTCTCTCTGTCCTCGACATACCTAACCCTATTTCCCCAATTGCTGTGTCAGCCCTTTTCATCCAAGGTCTTCCTCTCCTGTACTCACTCCACCCTTCTGAGCATTTATGTCCTTATCCAAACCTGCTCCTTCCTGGCATCATGCCCAAAGTATGAGATGGAGCTTCAAATTCCTTGTCTCCAAGGAGCAACTTGGTTTCACTTTTTGTAGTACAAACTTGTTTGTTCTCTTGGCTGTCAAAACATTCTATATACGGTTGTATATATTCAATAACACAAGTATCAGAGTATCCCCCTTAAAAGGTGCTTTGGCTCTCCGTTACACCGAGAGTCTCAGGGTTTGTAAATGTGCACCCACAATTGACTTTGTTTGGGCACCCAGTGCTCTCTGAGAAATCCCCTACAGGGAGCTTGTTTGAAATGTAAATCCTGAGGCACTGAGCAAAGGTGACTGTAGCAGCCCAATTTCTCTGCAGGCAGAGGAGCTGACTAGTGTATGAGCTAGTGGCAGCTTCAGAAGCTGTGATGCGGCTGCTTCCTCCTCTGGCAAGCCAGGAGGACTGCAACCCAGCCACTGGAAGCTGAACTTCAAGTCACCCCGCTTGCCCTGAGGGATGTTGTTGTTGTATGTGCCACTGAGTAAGAATTGACTCATAGACAACTTTCCAGTGGTTTTCAGAGGCTGTAAATCACATGGTAGGAAATTGTTCACCTTTTTCTCAAAGAGCATCTCTTGGATTAGAATGATGCACCTCTGGGTTGACAGCAAAGCTCCTCATCTCCTAGACTACCAGAATTCCCTAAAGGAAGATTATGCATCCACATACCTTTGTATTTTATACATTTAAAGACATTCTAAAAAAGAGTTTACTGGGTTTCACCAGGATTCACTATGACGTAAAATTGATTAGGAGCACCTGCTCCTAATGTATCATGTTGGAAGTAACTATGGGAGGACATAACTAAAAGAAAAGATTGGAGAAGCGTAGGATTTGAGACCTGTGTCCCAAAGCATTCTTTGGGAATGCTTCATTCAATGCCTTGGTGAATGCTTGAGAAATCTCTAATGTTTGGGTGGTCTACCTGGCTGACAATGGAAAGATAATGGAGGAGAAGAACTGTACTTCTGGGGTTTAAGATTTAGTGTAGAATGTATGCAGGGGTGTCTTGTCCAATGAGCAAGGTAAGCAAAAACTAATTTATGGTAAACATAAGAAACTATTCACTACAGATTAGCAAATTAGAACAGATTAATTCATGCTTATCTTGCTTTGCAAGTGCTCCACTCTGACAGAGATTGTTAATTTGAAAAGAGGCTTTGATTACATAAGAAGGTGCTATGGAATTGGGAAAGAGAGCGTAACACCTTGAAGCAGAACCTTTGATATACTGAAAATGTGAAATTGTTCACTATAGACTAGTAAGTAATAAACTCATGCTTGCTTTGTTTTCTGGGTAATCAAACACTGGACAGACACAGGAGGGTGATGTTATTAGTCTACTTAGTAATATGTGACAAAATTGACATAAGAATTGAATTTTTAATTTCATTAGATTTCATCATTTCTTGGATGTCAACAGTCATAAAGTAGAAAAGACCGTGGCAGGGTAAGTCATTTGTATATGTTCCTATTTAGGTACATATTCAGAAACACATGTATTTTTATTGTAGATCTTTTTTTGTTAATACGGCTTTCTAACAGTTGATTTTATGTTTTAGAGTTCATGAAAAACTTATCATTCATTCTGATATCAACAAAGCTGCCAGTTGGAAGAGATTAACTGAAGAATTTCTAAATACATCGCTTCCAAATATAAATGAAACAAAGGTATGTCTTCTATTTTGAGGTTTCTATTATGTATTCTACTGTTTCTATTCTGATTGTCTTCAGCTTGCTTCTGCTAACATTTAAACATTCATTATATATATTTTTAAAATATTCATTATATATTTTTTTTTCTTCTTCATTATATTTTTATATTGCTCAATGGCTAGCAGTATCTTTTGGAAGAAGATGCTGTCAAATCCAGTATGTTGATAATAAAAATGCATGCTCTTCTTTAAGGATCTTCTCAGCCTCAGCCTGCTTTGAACATAGACTTCAGAGCTTGGCAAATGGTAATGGTCTGGATACCTTAAAATTTTTTAATTCCTTTTCAACACTTGTTGATTGTCTCAACTAGAAAAAGAACTCATTGCCATCAAGTCAGAACAGACTCATAGAGGACCCTCCACTGGATTTTTGATGACTGTAAACCACACAGAAGAAGATGGCTCATCTTTTTCCCTCAGAACTACTGATGGATTCAAACTGGCAGAGAGATGCTGCTACCTTTGGGTTAGAAACACAACGCTCTATTGGTAGTGCCATCAGAGCTGCCTATAGATTGCTATAGCTGCTTAATAGATTGCAGGCACTATTTTCAGTCCTTTCATATTGAGTCAAGAGTACCTTAGTTTTATATAGGGGCAAAGTGCAGGAGATGTAGGTTTAAGTTTATAGCTTTTCTTTCCCATGGGTATTGGAAGGAAATACACTTAATTTTCCCAAAGACAATTAGGGAATCTTATCTGAGTCTTGTGTGCAGAGTATTTATTGAGGGATAATCACATAGATGTGGCTGATCTTAGCTTCTCAATTTCTAGTCCTAGACAGATCTAACTGGTAGAGCTTGGTCAAGGGCCTCAGGTATGTAAAATTTAAAAAAAGGTTCTGTATAAATCTCCTTAGTGTAAAATGTTTTGTGAAATTACAGCATGACTCAAGACTTAAAGACATATGAAAACCTTAAGATTTATTCAGTTAGGCATTCCAAGGGCCCAAAGATCATCTCCCAGGAGCAGATCAAAAAGAGTTAAGAGTTCTAGAATGTTCAGCATTTGAGCAATGCAAGACTATTGAGTTAGCTAACAATTCATTGTACATATATGTCGATCACAACAAACTGTGCCTGACTCTGAGAAGAATGGGAATCCCAGAACACCTGATTGTGCTTGTCAGAACAGAGCAAGGAAACACTGCATGGTTCAAAATTGGAAAGAGTGTACGTTCAGGATGTATCCTATCTCCATACCTTTTCAGTCTATACGTGGAACAGATTATCTGGGAGGCTGGGCTCTGTGAGGAGAAATGTGGCATCAGGATTGGAAGCAGTCTCATCAACAATCTGTTACACAGATGATACAAACCTGCTTGCTGAAACTGAGGAGAACCTGAAGTGCTTGCTGCAGAGGGTCAAGGACTACAGCCTTCAATATGGATTGAAACTCAACATCAAGAAAACAAAGATTCTCACTGCTGGGCCGATTGGCAACATCATGATAGATGGTGAAGAGATTGAGATTGTTGACAGCTTTAGTTTGCTTTGTTCTACAATCAACACGCTTGTTACCAGCAGCCAGGAAATTAAAAGACAAATTGCATTGGAAAAGCATGTCATCAGAGACATATCCAAAGTACTGATGAGAAACAATGTCAGTCTGGAGATAAAGGTGCACCTGATATAGGCCATGGTCTTTGCAGTTACTTACTATGCCTCAGAAAGCTGGATAATAACTAGGGATGATGAAAGGAAAATTGATGCCTTTGAGCTGTGGTGCTGGCGAACAGTATTGAATATATAAGGGACTGCTAGGAGAACAAACAAGTACATCCTGGAGAGGGTGAGACCAAGCTGCTCCTTGGAGGCACAGATTCTAAAGCTTTGTCTAACATAATTTGGACATGTTGCAAGGAGGGACCTTGGAGAGGGATGTCATGCTTGGGAGGGTGGAGGAACAGTGCAAGAGAGGAAGACCCTCCGTGAGATGGATTGATTCGTGACTGGGGTAATGGTGGTAGGTGTGTCAGAGACAGTAAGATTGGCATAAGATAGAACAAGGTTTAGGGCTGTTGTACATAGGGTCGCTATGAGTCGCAGGTGACTTGACGGCACATAACAACAACAACATATTCTATGAGAAATTATAGGCTTTCACTTTGGGAGATTGGTATCATAATGAATGTTTATGATTATTGTTGTTATGGAGTCGGGATTGATTCCTAGCTGACCCTTCGGTGAGTTTTTAGAGGCTTTAAATTGCATGAGAGGCGATTACTCATCTTCTATACAGCAGCTGGTAGATTTGAACCATCTGCCTTTGGATTGGCAGTATAGCTCCATACCCACTTAGCCACCAGATCCCCCCTCCCCCCCCGATAAGGTATAGAGATTAAAATATTTTTAATTGTCCATTGATTGAAGAAAGTTTTCATGAAAGAAGAGTGGGAGAAGTGCAGTGCTATAAATCCATCCTGTTCGTTGTTGTTGTTGAATTGGCTCCTGACGTAATGGGTCAGAGTTGTCTAATCCTACTCCATCGTTGAGCTCTGGTGGATTAGTGGTTAAGGAGTTGCACTACTGACCCAAAGGCAGGTAGTGCAAATCTGCCAGGGGCTCTGAGGAGGAAAGTTGGGCATTCTCACAAACTCTGGAAACCCGCAGGAGGTCAGCTATGCATTGGTTCCAACTTGACAGCAGTCTTAGTCTGACACCTTCTTCATGTTTGAATCCATTGTTGTTCATTGCTAATGTGTTAATTCATCTCATTGAAGGTTCACCTCAGATTTGCTAACTCTGCCAGATATGTTGTGGGGCATCAAAGTGACATCTTTGCTTTTTATCATCTAAAGGAAACTGCTTTTCCATCAGATTTTACCATTTCAGTCATGTAAAGATTTTACCATTTCAGTCATGTAATTTGACTTCTTGCTTGCTGTTTCATGGCCTCTGATTGTGGATACAAATGGAATGAGATTGTTGGCAACTTCACTTTTTTCCTTTCAATTTTATTGTTTTGTTGTTGAGATAATACATAATAAAACTAAACCATTTCAGCAGTTTCTACCTGTAAAATGTGGTGACATTGATTTGATTATTTGAGTTGTACAACTGCTTTCATTTTCCTTTTCTGAATTATTCTTCCCTCACTAGCAAAATCTCAACCCTAAAGTTTCTACATAATCTTTCAGGTTTCTCTTGTCAATTTGATCCCATTGATAGTCCTTAAAAGAGCATATAAGTCAAGTATCCTAGTTATTTAGTGCTACTGTAAAGAAATATCACAAGTTAGATACTGTCAAATTGACTATAACTCATAGCAATTCTATGAATAATGGATCTGAACCCCGTCTGTTCTGTGCCATCCTTATTATTTCTGATATACTTGAGCCCATTGCTGCAGTCATTGTGTCAGTCCATCTGGTTGAGGCTATTTTTCTCTTTCATTCACCCTCTACCTTTCCAAATCTGAAGTCCTTTTCTAAGAACAGGCCCCTTCTAATGACATTCCCAAAATACTTAAGGTAAAGCTTTCTTCCCAGGAATACCTTGGCTACAGTTTTTCCAGAACATATGCTTTTGGTGATCCATGGAATATTGATTTCTACCACCTCTTACAGGCAGAGATAGATCGAACATGCAATCAAGATGCATTGATAATAATAGGCGACTGGAACGAAAAAGTTGGAACAGGGAAGAAGAATCAGTAGCTGAAAAACATGGACTTGGTGACAGAAATGAAGCTGGAGATAGAATGATTGAATTTTGCACAATCAATGACTTATTCATTGCAAATACGTTTTTTTAAGAGACATAAACGCAGGTTATACACATGGATTTCACCTGATGGTAT